GGGGGGGGGGGGGTGGGCAGTGAGAATTCCAGGAGAAACAGATCCAAGCATGGGGCGGCTCTGGGAGGGCAGGAGAAGATGACAGCTGGCGGCAGTGCTTGGGCTGATGACGGCTATTATTTTACAGGGGTCCAAGGGGGGGGGCCTTCTGATATGACCATGAGCTTATAGCAGAAGAGTGAAAGCTACTGATGTAAGGCTTACTGATGTAGCCAGCTGCAAGTGGTTGTGTTACGTCGTAAGCCTTACATCGGTGGCGGCGAAAGGGTTAAAGTGCAACAGAAGCCAATTTTTGTTTTGGATATAGTGGAGAGCAATTAGAACGCCTGCCAGGTCTTTGTTGCTGTCTATGTTCCCATTAGAAAGGGCGAATCTTTCTAATTGTCCTGATAATCGTTATCACTGAAAATGAAAGAAAATCCCAAATTTTGGGTTCTCATCAAAACAGGAATAGATGGGAAATCTTCCAATGGACGTTTTAGTGACCCTGCTGACCAAAAGGGATTACCCTCACTTTGGAGGGATTTTCTTTCACTTCCTGTTGTTTTCAGACAGGAAATGAAAAAAGCCTTCAGTTCTACTTCAAGAAAAAAACGGCAGAAAATGTGCTAACAGTTTTATCTTCTGAATGGACTTCACAATCTCCTATACAAACTGAAACAACCTCAAGATGTATAGACATATGTAATGTGCAACAGTATTATCCATGAATGCCTTGTATTGCACAATACCATAAACTGTCAAAGAGCCCAGCTGAATAAAGAAGTTCTTTCACTCAATTTAGATGAAGGCAATGACATTTGTTATAGGATCATTTTGCATACTTGTGAATAGAGAATTTTCTGCTGCTACATGGCTTGGATGCAATACAAGGACACTCTCTCAAATGCCCCACCACTTTGTCAATAAAACAAACAAAAAACAAACAAAGAAACACGAAACTGGCTACATCACCTGGTTTATAGTCTTCTCCATCTGAACCAACCCCAGATTTGGGAGAGTATTCTTTATGAATTCTACAATAGATTCAAGGTTTTCTTGCTGTAATATTAGGGGCTTGTGACTGCCCAGTAAACTTAGAGCAACCTTAAATATAACTTCTGATCCCTGCAGAAAAATCAGATCTAAAAGAAGAACACAAGGGCATTAAAAAAAGTTTTTTTCATGAGTATAGCCATACCAGAAACACTTTACAAAAAATATGGACAATAATGTGAAACAAAGGAACTAGCCATGTCAGTAGGCCAAAATAATTATCTTTGTTTCTATGAAACTTCTCCAGCCAAAACATTTTAATTTTAAGAACGGTTGGTTATGGCCATTTGTCAGAAAAGTGATGAGAAATCTCTCCAATAGGCCCAGACAAAGCAAAAGCACCTTTCTAGCCGAGCGAGAAAGGGTTACAATTTCTTATTGCTGTTTTTTCCTTCCGATTCTGGTGACAACTCCTTCCCTTATTTTTGTTTGGGTGTTACAAGGACAGGAAGTGAGGGAACATGTCTCCAACAGAGTCAAACACAGTATTAAAAAGAACAAACTGAAATTTTAAAAGCTGAACTCAGGGGTAAAAACAATTTTTGCACATCTGCTAAGTAAAAATTAACTACCCTTAATGATGTGTTTCCACATTGGTGGATGACAGCTCCATTAGGTAAAAACTCAAACTTTCATTCATCCCAACACTGCTGTAAAACACTGAACAGCTGTTGCTGAAACTTACAGATGCGGCTCTAGTACAGGGCATGCAGTGAAGGAAAGTGGGCCACTTGCACTTATCCACCTTGTCTATTTAATAGACATCTTGTATTATTTTCATAAAACGCAAAGTGTTCTGTGATTGGATGAGGTAAGGACTGACGTTCATCCGCTCCTCCTCTATTCACAGAATGCCTTGTATTCTGTGAAAATATGTTTTCTAAATAGAGGAGGTGGAGGGCAATTAACCCACTGTATTCACTGTACTAGATCTGGGACTGTGGTGCAGAGTATACACACCTGAAAGATATGAAATTGGGTGTTCTCCTTTGAAGATGTAAATATCAATATATGATGCAGGCACATAGTACAGGATTGAGGTGATTACGCAAGTCCTTCACATACCTTTTGAAAATTAAAAGGTTGTGATATGTAAAATATTAGAGTTGAAGAAATGAAGAAGTTAATCTACATACTTTGTGGGGTTTGTGCATATACCAAAATTTAGCAAACTAGAATTGCTTTCTGAATGCAGATCTCAAGACTAAAAAGAAATTCACTGTCTGCTTAGGGCCACCTTCCCCAATATCTGTGTATAAACATTAATTTATGAATAAATTATTTTCATGAATTCATTGGATAGCCAGGTATATATTGTTCTTAGTAATGTTTTATTATAAAATTGTAAAAAAAAAATGCCAAGTCATTGTGTTAAAAAAAAAAAAAAATCTCAGTCAAGATTCTTACAGATTTCCTTATAGCATTTCTGAACTGTGTATGACCTCTTTGGGCTCTAGGAGCTAGTCAGCATCATGGCTACACATGAAACTGAACACAGATCTGCTCTTTCACAATCAAAACATTAGTCACAGCTCAACTGTCACTTCTCACACTCCACAATCCAGCTCTGTTTAGACAGAGAAAACACAAGAGCACAAGTGGTTTCAGACTGCTGTCACAGCGGGGACAAGTCCTATAATAGGTACTACCCCTCCTTTCTCTGTAATTTAATGCTTAGCTAGGGAGTGCCCCGGTTCTGGCCAGACAATCAGGTCCGACAAGAGTACCTGTAAATGTGCCCTACGTTGCCGAGTGTAGTTTGATCATTCCGTAGCCTTCAAAAGTTACCAAAATCCATAGAATGAAACAGCTGACAGAAGGATAACTTTAGTTCCTATAAAAGAGGTCCAATAGAGAAGCAGGTGACCATTTTAAAAGAGCACAAATATAAAAGAGTGGATGCATTGGGCCCCATCAACTTGAACATGTCAGCCTCCCTGCACATTCCACTATGACAGGCGGTTGCGCATACCTCTACAGTGCATAAAAAGCGTTGCCAGTCTTCTAATATTGCATTGCGGTTACCTGGCCACTTCATATGCAGAGGTTAGGTTCTTCTGTAAGATTTTGCATGAATTATTATTATAAAGAATTTATATAGCGCCAACAGTTTGCGCAGCGCTTTACAATATAAGGAAGACATTACAATCACAATACAAGACAAGATGGTAAGGAGGGCCCTGCCCCTGGGGGCTTACAATCTCAAAGGGATATATCTACTCAATATTACACATTATTTTATGGAGTACAAAAAAAAACCTTTACATCAGCCCCTGTCTACAAAGCTGTTTAAATACTTATGTCCAGATCACACATTCTAGAACTCTCTAAAAGACTATTAACATAACAGAATGTTTTGAATTATGCATGAAAACCAAAATCAGACAGAGAAACTAATGACAATACCCAAGAACATGGAGATGACGCAACTCCTGGCAGACAAAATTCCTTGTGGACCAGGCTCATAGCAGCAAAATAGTGCCATCTCCCTAGTGTGTTGGGCCTTAAAGACATCTCCCACATTTTGCAAAAATAAATGCACCCACATTTTAAAAAATGTGCATTTACGTTTTTGCATTGGGCCTGGAGAGCATTTAACCGTCATCAGTGGATCATAGGTGCAATGCACAAGCTACTGCAGACCTTTCCCTCAGCCCCAGGTCAGTATGGACCTTCAATTATGGGGCACGACTACAGTCAAAGGACTACAAATGCAGAGATGTCAACACATTTGTACTCCACTGAGATCAGCGAGTCCCTCTGCTGCGATGGCAGATGGAACTTGTAAATGGATGACATAAGTGTGCGGGCAGAGCCACACACAGTCGTTTTAAATTCTAATGAAAACAGAATGCCACATGGGAACACAAGGCCCTGTCATTCAGGTAAGGGTG